AGCACAAGTACTGTAAAAAGGCAGACTTAGGGGAGGGCAGCACTCAGGAGATCCATCTACGGGTGCAGCACCTTTGGTGGTCCCCCTCTGCAAGGACAGTGACATCTGCTGGGGGCTGGTGAGTTTAAGTGACAGCGGCAGGATGGCATGGGGGCGTTAGGGGTACAGGGGTAGTGGGGGCCGGATGATGGATGGGGGGGAAGCGCCTGAGGTATGGCCGTGTGACCAGAGTCTAGAAAATCAACCATAAAAACACTTTCTCCTTTGCTCCTTAGAAGGTTAGTATACCAGTGACTGGGTGGCGCCCCCTGCTGTCAGTGGACATAGAGTTGGCGCGATCGGACTGACGGGTTGTCGGGCAGCATGTAGCACGTCAGAATGTGGGTCTTCGGCACGATTCGCGGAGGAAGCGCGTCGCTCCTGCTGGTCCTCCACCACGGACCTGAGGAGTTCCTCAGACATGCGTGTGAACGGCGTCTCCTTCGGAGCGCCTGTGAGTTTGTGCTTCGTTTAGGCGCCGGGATTGTGAAATCAGTGTGGGATCAAATTCAATTTGCTGAAAGTAAAGAATGAGAGCTGGACCTGTGGGGAGTTTCATCCGTCATCCCATCGCCGGTGGTCCTGGAGCACGGCGTTCTGTTCATGGGACACGGTGGCCGGGGATGGCGCCTGGGAGGCTCTCCGATGGGCCGCGGAAAACAAACAGCCAAGCCTTTATTTAACTACAGCGCAGGCACCTCGGGCTACTAATTTGTCACAACAGACAGGTTTCCATTTCCTGCACTGTGGTGGGACGTTACCCTTTTTACATCTGCTGTTGTTTTAATAAAACAATGGTTTCGTGTGACTGCCTCTTTTTTCAGTTCAGACGCATTTTCGGATTGTGGGAGAAGATAAACAGTACAGCATTCCATCAGAGGTACTTGGATTTTCAATGCTAGTTAGGTGCCCTCGTCCCACTGTGACTTCCTGACACTGCGAGTATATCAGCCTATCTTCTGCTGTTCTAATTTAATCCACTATACATCTAATTAAACAGTTATTGTTGTCCAGATTTCTACCTCTTCCGAAATCAGATTAGCTTGCTTTTAATCTTGCAATAACTATGACACACAATTGAATTGTGAGTATGTGTGAATGAGGGTGATTTTCCACTGCTTTGTCAGTGAGCTCCCTCACAGGGTGCTGATGCTCTCACAGAGCTCGCCTCCTCCAAGGCCACATAGCCTCTGTATTGAAATACATTTCTTAAACCTCTAATTGGCTCATTTTCATTGGATGGAAGCAGTATAATGCAGGAGGTCCTTTGGGAGGGCTAAGGTTTAAGGAGTCTAGCTTGGAGCTAGAAGCTGTCACTTTCAAATCCGAGGTCCAGTGCTTGTCCAGCGGGACACAGTGGAGCAGCATGCATGCATCAGGACTGTGAGCAGGGATGGGAACACGTCACTCGTTTGCAAGTCCGAATCAAGTCTCGAGTCAAAACATCGGGAGTCCAAGACTCTCGAGTCATGTGTCCTCAAGTCCAAGTCGAGTCCAAGTCTTTCCATCAGTTTTACTGAGTCGAGTCGCGAATCTTGAAACGTGTGTCTGGAGTCCGTGACGCAAGTCCCCACCTCTTATTGAAAGTAGAAGAAAGTGTGAGGAACTGGGAGTTTTTAGTTCCACAAAAATGTTCTGAGGGCAGAACAGAAAATGATTAGTTCAGAGAGGTAACCAATCATATTGTCGAGGAGGTGGGTCCAAGCAACTAGAGGAGGCGGAACCAAGACATCTGATTTAATTGGTCCTGCCTCCCCAAGTTACTTGGACCCACCTCCTCTTCAATGTGATTGGTTATCTCTCTGAACCAATCATTTTTCATTCTGCCTTCAGCACATTTTTGTGTAAGTAAAACTCCCACGAGGAAACACTGCTGGTCTGAGCAGCAGCTGGAGCGCTTGCTCTTGAGTGAGGAACTTAACCTGAATGCGTTTGCAAAAAAAAAAAAACGGCTGCTAACAGGAGAGTCCCTCCCTAAGATGCAAATAATGCCTTTCTGATTCTGCTCCCATTGCTGCCCCAGTTACCCTGTGACTGAGCAACACTATCCGAAGAATCAGATATGCTTGCTGGGTGCTTCTGGGAGCAGCTGGGGGCCTCCCCACGGAGCCATTCTGTGGGCAGGCGGCCTTCCACAGCATACATACCTCTCTTAGCTAGCTGTTCGCCTAGCAGACACTCTCTCTTGTGAAGTGACTCACGAGGCTGACTCGGGGTCTGCTGGGAACGCTGTCCCAGCCCGGGGCATATCTGCACGGGAGGACAGACACTCTGTAACAGGGCGGTCAAGTCCCAGCTCTGTGCCACAGGGGGCTTCCACCAATCAAGGGTCATTTCCTTCCAGCTAGTGCATGAGTGCTTCCATGATTGGTCCTTGCTTGGAGGGGATCGACGCGTCGTGTCTTTCCAGAAAGGTGTGATGGACGTTTTCCAGCTGTGTTTCCAAGCACCAGTTTCTCAGTGATCTCCCATGAGAACCCGTGGTGTGTGTGTGTGTCTGTGTGTGTGTGTGTGTGTGTCAGGGAGCATACCTTGTGTTTGAGGAGAGAGAATGAGAAAAAGTAAGAGCAGGGAGATGAAAATAGAGTGGAAATGGGAGGGGATAGAGGGTGGGGGGGAGACTAGTTAATAGGCCTGAATGGGAAATTGCCTTGGCCTTTATACTCAGATCACACGCGGTTGTCTGATTTCCGCAGGCCGCTCGCTCACCCCGTCCTTGGTTGCTGAAAAGCACCCGCCATGTCTGACATTGTGCGTTGATTTCGTTTCCGCTCGTCTTCACCAGATATAACAGCAGCGTGAGCCGTCGGGGCCTTGCAGTTAAAAGTTCCAACACGGAGCTAATGTTGGACGCACTAACGGGGGGGGGGGGGGGGGGG